TCGAAGTGGAGATTTCGTGGCAGGCACAGCACTTGGTGAACCTCGAAGTGCAGATTTCATGGCAGGCACAGCACATGTGCAGACTGCGTGGCAGGCACAGCGCATAGTTAACCTCGAAGTGCAGATTTCGTGGCAGGCACAGCGCTTTGTGAACCTCGAAGTGCAGATTTCGTGGCAGGCACAACGCATGGCGAACCTCGAAGTGGAGATTTCGTGGCAGGCACAGCACTTTGTGAACCTCGAAGTGCAGATTTCGTGGCAGGCACAGCACTTGGTGAACCTCGATGTGCAGACTTTGTGGCAGGCACAGCACTTTGTGAACCTCGAAGTGCAGATTTCGTGGCGGGCACCGGCATGGTGAACCTCGAAGTGCACATTTCGTGGCAGACACAGCGCTTTGTGAACCTCGAAGTGGAGATTTCGTGGTCTCCCACTCTCACTTTCACTCACACTCACACTCCCTCACACTCTCACTCTCACCCACACTCACTCTTCACTCTCTGACTCACACTCGCACTCGCACTCACTCACTCACACTCGCATTCACACTCACACTCATTCTCACTAACACTTCATTCTCGTCCACACTCACTCCCACTCACACTCACTCACTCTCACTCACACTTGCACCCCCTCACACACTCACTCACTCTCCCACACTCACGCACACTCTCACTCGCTCTCACTCACACTCGCACTCACAAACACACTCACTCTCACTCATTCACTCTCACTCCCACTCATTCACTCATTCACTCATTCACTCTCACTCGCACTCACACTCACACTCACACTCACTCACTCTCGCACTCTCACTCACACTCTCACTCTCACCCTCACTCTCACTCTCACTCACACTCACACTCACACTCATTCACTCTCCCACTCACACTCACACTCACTCTTCACCGCCCTGTGTGTGTTTTCCGGTTCGGCCTGTGTGTGCCGGGGCGATCCACCGTTTGCGCTGGGGCCAACTCGCGCGCCATTGCGTCCGTTTCCTCCATCAGGAGGGAGAAGGTTGATCCTTGGGTGTTTGAAATCGAGAGCCTAAGTAAAACTCGCATTGTGAGAGACTGACACACATTCGGCTTCCGAGCACGTTGTGGGAAATCCACACTGGAAATCCCGCCTGCGCAGGTATGTCGCCCATAGGACTTGGCACCCTTCCTCCCTTCCAGGACAACTAAGGTCCGCCTGGGGTGTTGGCTGTGTGGCCAGACTGCATTTCAGTGTATTGGTGCATGACAAGTGTGCGGTGGCACCTTTGAATCGCCAAGTATGTTACTTCCACGAATGCGAAAGGCTGAGCCCGATGGTGTGCAAGTTGAGGGGGGCTTCGCCGAAGTCGAACGGGGGGGACCCTTCGGCGAAGACCCCCCTTAAAGAGGGCTTAGGGGGGGCTTAAGCCCCCTTCGCCGAAGGCTTTAAGGTCTTTGGACGAAGGGGGGCTTAAGGGGGGGCTTGAGGGAGAGCTTAACGCGGGGCTTAAGGGGGGGGTTAAGCGGGGGGGGTTCGGGGGGGCTTCGCCGAAGGTCGAAGGTCTTCGGGCTTAAGGGAGGCTTAAGGGGGGTGAGCTTAAGGGTGGTTTCGCCGAAGGCTTAAGGTCTTCGGTCGAAGGGGGGCTTAAGGGGGAGGGAGGGCTCAAGGGGGGGCTTAAGGGGGGGCTTAAAGGGGGATTGCCGAAGGCTTAAGGTCTTCGGTGGAAGGGGGGCTGGGGACAGGAATCGGGACAAGGAATTGTCGGCAGGGAACTGGGGGGGCAGGGAGTTGGAGACAAGAACTTGGGGCAGGGAACTGCGGACAGGGAACTGGGGACAAGGTCAGGGAACTGGGACAGGGAACTGGGGGCAGGGAAGTGGGGGCAGCAAGCTGGGGACAGGGAACTGGAGCCAGGGAAGTGGGGGCAGGGAAGTGGGGGCAGCAAACTGGGGACACGGAACTTGGGACAGGGAACTGGGGACAAGGACCTGGGGGCAGGGAACTGGGGACGGGGAAAGCTGCACCAGGGAATCACAAATAATGCGGGACTTTCTAGACTACCGTCGTGTTTGGCCAGTTTGAAATCTCCAAAAGCCGAAAAAACGATTTCCGACACAATCTTTCCAGGGCTTAGCGCCTGCAACAAAAGCATTTTTTTACAGGCTCCCGCCGAAGACAACGAGGGGGGGCTTAAGGGGGGGCTTAAAGGTGGCTTAAGGGGTCTTAAGAAGGGGATTAAGGGGTGGTTAAGGGGGTCAGAAATCTTTCATCCTAAAGTCTACTCGGGAACCTTCGTGGTATTCGGGAGGAGCCTTTAAAAAGAAAGCGTTTTGTGGCAGGTGCAGGGAATGGTGCGAGAATTGCAGATTTCGTGGCGCGGGGGGGTTGGGGGGGGGCGCAGCCCTCCCCCCATGCAGCAAGAATAAAGAGTTTGTTTTGATGCTACATGGAACCTTCGTTGTCTTCGGCAGGAGCCTTTAAAAAAGAAAGGTAGCGGTTACGCTACCTGAGTTTCCCATTTTGCTTCAGCAAGAATGAATTTTTGCCAGAGTGGAGGCCTATCTCACTGAGAATTGCCCTCCGACACTTCATTTTGGAGGCCGCCCCCCCCCCCCCCTCCCCTTTCAATTCCACTGTGGCGCGGCTCTTTGTCAATGGCTAGAAAACGACGTAAATACAAGTGTTTTCACCTCCTCCAGGAGTGGCCTCAAACCACGCAATTTACATGGTTTTTCTGTGGCTGTCCGGCCAAAGAACCTCGTAAACACATGGTTTTTGAAGTGTCTAGGCTTCAAAAATGGTCGAAAAAGGACCAAAAACATGGAACGATTTTGTCGGAAAGGGTTTTTTTGGTTTTTGGAGGCTTCACAATGGCTCAAAAGGATGGTATTTACACGAGTTTGTGCACCTTCCCGGCACAAAACCCGTAAATTGCGATGGTTTTGGGCCATGTACGCTTCAAAGTGGCGTGTTTTCAGCTCCTCCAGTCTTCAAGAGTGGCCTCGAACCACGCTATTTACAGTTTGTTTATTTTTCTTTGTGGCGGTTCGGCAGAGAAGCGCGGAAAGATAGTGTCGGAAAGGGCTTTTTCGGCTTTTGGAGATTTCAAACTCCTCCAGTCTGGCAGAGTGGCCTCAAACCACGCAATTCATATGGTTTTCTGTGGAATGGGTCCCATTTTTGAGATCTGTCTCCACCCCAGGTCTCCACCGGCGACGACCCCGCCTCACGCCAGATCAGGCCCCGGAGATGCCGTCGCCGTCGTGTTTTCGAGGTCTCCCCGAATTGGAAAGAGGTATGGAATGATAGCATTAAGAGCCCGCCCAAAAGGACATCTTGATCCCATGTGCGTTGGTTCATTCTTTATGCCGGGTGAACGGTGCGTCCAGCTGCCCGCGAACTGCCAGGATGACGTATTCGGAGCTGCCAGTTCAGTGGGAGCGCGACGCATGGGACTTTTGTCTGTCTATGTCTGTGTCTCGGAAGCAGGTGAAGGTGCCCCTCCTTGTGTTTGGCATGTTCTAAACATCATTGATAAGGGCCTATGAGAAGTAGCCTTGTCTACCTCATGCGCCAGGCTTACTCCAACAAGGAAGCGCCCGAGGCACCGGCGCTCAGCGACCTGGCGCATTGTGGTCCGCGTTGTGACATTTCCTTGTTCGAGTAAGCCTTCGTCAGGAGTGGTCGCCCAAGGAGTCGTCGCCGGTGCCTGACGCAGAGGCCAGCTCTCTAACAAAACTCGGATTGTACAGTGACATTACCTAGCAACCTTGTAATTAGCCAATGTTAGCAGCGAAGGTTCAACTTGAACAAACAGCCGCTGCTGAAGAGTATGCAACTTGATGTTGATAGCGTCATAGACTTTGAACTGCCTTGCTTCCATGCCCGCCCGAAAGGCCACCACCTTCATCACTTACAAGATCGCGGGGTGATGCATGGAGTGAGCCAGAAAAGAGCTGTTGGGAAGCGTTTCCAAACAGTGCACAACTCACAGCAAAACAAGCAAAATAGAAGCTAAACACAAAAGATACGCCTTCCAAACAAAATAGTAAAGCTGCTTGCCAATGGGAGGCCAACACAAGTTTCAAGAGACAAACTACTTTAACTAGCTCTGTGGAAACACCTGATGGCCCGACGGCACGGCCCCAGTAGCGGCGGAGTGTTCGCCGGGGGGCTGATGAGGATGGAAAAGACCCGTTCTTGCAAGTTGACGCCTTCGATCTCCGTCTGACCCACGCCCAACTGACAGAAGGCCCAGTAAAGGCCTTGGTGGTGGCTGAGGTGAGTTGAACTGGGAGGGGTGGGCAGTGGGCGGACCTAGTAGGTGCAGTAGGCTCGGAACAGTGTCTAGGCTTCAAAAAAAATGGTCGAAAAAGGACCAAAAACCTGGAAAGATTTTGTCGGAAAGGGGTTTTTCGGCTTTTGGAGGCTTCACAATGGCTCAAAACGATGGTGTTTACACGGGTTTGTGCACCTTCCCGGCACAAAACCCGTAAATTGCGATGGTTTCGGGCCATGTACGCTTCAAAGTGGCGTGTTTTCAGTTTTCTCCAGTCTTCAAGAGTGGCCTCAAACCACGCTATTTACAGTTTTTTTATTTTTTTTTGTGGCGGCTCGGCAGAGAAACGCGGAAAGATTGTGTCGGAAAGGGCTTTTTTGGCTTTTGGAGATTTCAAGCTGGCCAGGCACGGCGGTGGTCTGGAAAGTCCCGGATTATTTGTGATTCCCTGCTACCTTTCGTTCGCCCCCAGTTCCCTGCCCACAGTGTTCTGCCCCCAGGTCCCTGTCGCAGAACTGGGGTGAAGGCAGGGAACTGGGGAGAGGGGAGCAGGGAGTTGGAGACAGGAACTGGGGGCAGGGAGGGAACTGGGGACACGGGACTTGGGACAGGGAACTGGGGGCGGAACCCTGGGGGCAGGGAACTGGGAGCAGCAACTGGGGACAGGGAACTTGGGACAGGGAACTGGGGACAGGGAACCGGGGGCAGGGAACTGGGGGCAGCAAACTGAAAACAGGGAACTGGGACAGGGAACTGGGTGCAGGGGACCTTCGCGGGGGGCTTAATAAGGGGGGCTTAAGGTGGGGCTTGAGGGGGGTCTTAAGGGAGCTTAAGGGGGGCTTTTATTAAGCTTCGGTACGTAAGGGAGGGGGCCTTCGTAGGGGGCTTAAGGGGGGGGCTTAAGCCCCCTTCGCCGACCCGAGCCTCGGGACTGAAGGGAAGGCATTGTTCGGGATTACGCCTGAAGTATTCGCCGGGACCCGGATAGCTTTTGCGTAGTTCATGGAATCATCTTTCTGGATCTGCTGTTTGTGTTCGAAAACCTCTCCGTACCCTTTTGGCTCAAGCTTCACACGGCGTTTACGCCAATTTGAGATTTTCTTGCACTTCAAGGGACCTTGGTGGGCGGGCTCTCGCTATGCGAGGTTTCGGAGCCCACATGGACCCAGACCCACGCGCAGAGCGTGTGGCTCTGGGCCAACTTGGGGGCCTGACGGTGGCCCAGGACCAGGACTTCATGTCCTCCATGGGCCTCACCAGCAGGGTGTGCCGCCAGACGATCCAGGCCCAGATCGACGAGCTGCTTGGCCCTCATCGTGGAACCGCGCGAGGGGGGAGGATGCTGGCCAGGCTCAGGGACACCAAGGCCCAGGATTGGTGGTCCAGCCGAAGTACGCCTTCGTGGCGGACCTCTACACCAGGCTCCCGGAGAGGTCCTCTGACCTCACGGCCACGAGCACCCCCGCCATCGAGGAGCAGGAGGAGGTGTACAGGGAGGAGGCCAGCCACTCTCACTCACTCTCCCACTCTCACTCTCAGTCACACACACTCACCTCACCCACCCACCTTCAGTCTCACACTCACACTCGCACCCACTCACTCTCCCACTCTCACTCTCACCCACACTTACTCTCACCCACACTTACTCGCACTCACACTCACTCTCCCACTCACACTCACACTCACACTCCCTCTCAGCCACACTCACTCACACCCACCTTCACTTCATCACCACCCTCTCTGGACCCCAATGCGTCTAGATCTCTAGACTTTCTGCTTACAGACCTCACACACACACACACTGTTTTGGGGTCTCTTGCTGGGATATTCTTTTCAAGCTCTGTAGGTTTCTATTGTGATTCATTCATTACAGTTGAATTCAATGCGATTCTTACTGCTAACCATGGGCGACTGGCGGAACAGACAGAAGTGGATCCGCCGCATGGTACGATGAAAAACCGCACTGGTTGGCTCAGGGAGGATACGAGCACCTCCAATCTGCACATGGACCTTCACGTCGGGCGTCTCAAACCCGACTCTTCTCGCGCCCAGCGGTGCGAGTTCAGTCGCGGTGGCCATGAGGTCTAGGTGCCGAATTGAGGTGACGTGATCTTCTGTTGAGGGGTGTTGGGGCACTGGTTCCCGAAATCTGCAGAATCGCAACAATTTTTGCTGTGGACATGCTCATATGGTCACAGATCACGATGATTAGAGACGAAGTGGTTCGTTCAGCGTGAGTGAAAATCCGCTGGGACCACAATTACTATAATCTGAGTCTCTGAAGGCAGATCAACCGCCCCCAGTTCTTTTTAAATGTAATGTTTCAAAATTGCGAGGATGTTTTAGTCCCCCAAAACGACTGCGCTTTGAAGCAGCGATGGAACATTTGTGAGCCACGTGGCGGCTCGAGGTTGAATGAAGCAATCAATACTCGCCCAGCCGCGCACACAAGCCAGTCACTGGAATCATTCGCAAGAAGTCTCCGTTTTAAACCTCTTGTAGGGTGCAACGGCCAAAGCTAGTTCAATCCTCCAACTAACCGGCAGACCATGCGGATGTCTCATTGAAAATACATACGTGTTCCCGTGTTCCCTTCAAAAAGAACTGGAAGGAGTTGGCCGAAGAGATGGTCAACTGTTTGGCCAACTGGGTGAGCATCGGAAGACCGACTCAGAGACCTCATGTTCTCAGATCTCCTCACTGATTGGGCTTTAAAAACATGTGGTACCCCCTCCCAAATAGAGAGTGGCACGGTGGAACAAAGAGATTTTGAAAGGGATTGTACTTTTCGATCCATTTGGCGTTCTGTATAGACTCCAGTGGAAACCTCTTCCACCAGTGGCTTTTCTAAGGAGAACGCCCGGCTTTGGCGTCCGCCGAAGCAGAAGTGGGGACCCCAGGGCAAGTAGGTGGAGCCTCAAAAGGCAGATGCAGAGGACTTCAAATGGAAGATTGAGCGGATGAGTTTAGAAACCTGTGGAGTGCAAGTAGTTTTCGGACGTTTCTGACAAGTCTTTTTTGCAAGATGTCACTTTCGTGTTTTGCCTAGACCCATCCCGCAAACACTTGAGGGATCATTCTTCCTTCCGCCACATACAGAATGGACCATGATGTGTTTTGAGGGGAAGGAGAGGTTGAGGAGGTGATGGAACCCTCGTTGGAACCCTGGGACCCTATGGGACCCCGACCCCTTTCGGTCGGTCCTCTGGCCGAAAACGGAACAGGATCACTTGCTTTTGGGATCTTTTGGGCGACACAGAATGAAAAGCCACCGCACTTCACGTGGTGCTTCTGCGTGGTGCGACACTGAGTGAAACCTCCGAACTTCACCCAAACACACCCAGACCATCTCCGTCTCACCTATCTTCCGCCCTTGTGCCCGCCACATCGCCGCCTGGCCGGCCTTTGAGGCCTATGTTCGATCGAAGCGAGATCAACATCTCCAGGGTTCCCCTGGGGACCATGGTTCAGCAAAAGGTCATCACCACAGAGGCTCCCAACGAACCGACGAAGCCGCAGTTCACATGAACGTTGGGGTGGATCCAGGCCAGTGTACTGGCCTTTAGAGAGCTAAGGTCAGCCCACCCCCTCTCTCTCTCACTCATCTCTCTCCCAGCTTTTTCTTTTGTGTGTGTATCTCCGTCTGTCTGTGTCTTTTTCCCTTAGGTGGAAAAAATTCAGATCATGGAATCATATGGAATCAGCTCTTGTCATGAGTTCACCCATTGGTTGCTTGCGACCAGATGCGACCCGGAGGAGACGCGTCCGGTGTTCAACACCCCAACCGCCACGCTCCACTGCCGCAGGCCCCACTGGAACCACCAGGGCCACCGCGTGACCTGCCACCACCGAGCCCCAGCGTGTGCGGAGCGTGAGCCGCGAGGGGCGGCTTGGGGCGCCGGGGGCGCCCGGGTGGCGGTGAGGGAGCGGTTTTCCCCAAACTCAGAGAGGATGGCACGGTGGAAGAAATTCATTATTCTATGTGATGATCTACTGTTCCATCTAATCTATTTGGGGGTCTATATAAGGGTCTATGATATCATAAGAGTTATGCAATGAATCCAGCCGCTTTCTCCGGAATTTCCGGACTGACCGTGGTGACAGTGGTGACCCACTGAGGTCACATCCCCAGTCCCTGAATCCGGGCAATGTGGATCCTTGGGGTCCAATGATATGACTCATAAGACTGAAGATAGCGAATCCTGCGCAAAAAAAGACAAACACCATCTTCAGTTCGATAAAACGTGCTATACTCTGCCAGAATTTGAAGGGCTGGTTGCTCCTTCGGTTTTCTGATGATAAGCTTTTGGGCACCAAAAAAGTACTACCCTAAGTTTCACGACTCTTTCACTACTCTCAGGTGCTAATGTCACTGTCCCATGCACCAGATGAGTTTTTAATCAAGAACCCCCTGTCAAGGCACCTATGCACAGTAAGTGTAGGAGTCTGCCTTCCAAAGTGAAGGCCCCATTTCTCCCCAAGACCCCCTTTTTTCAACCCGAAGGGGGGCCGATGAGTCTTCTCAGGAGGAGTCGGAGAACCCCTGACATGTCATGGGCTTTGGTCTCTTCGAGTCTGCCAGGGGGTTAGACCGTCTTTGAGACTATGTGTCTTAGTCACGAAAGCTAGCATCAGCTAGCTGGAGTTGCTCTTGCTTTAGCAAGTCAAGGGCTCGCAGCCTCGAGAATCATGAATCACGTGAAAACTTCACGTGTAGGGGGGCCCCCCCCCCCCCCGCGGGTTCAACTCCCCCCTGGGACGCTTCCGGTACGTGCTATAGTGCTATGTTTAGGTGGCAGGTGAAGTAGGCCACTGTTTGAGTTTGGAAGGGGGGGCATGAAACATGAAATTTACGCGAGGGTTCAAGGCTTCAATGATGAGCATCACGGGAAGTCAGAAACCAGGCATATCAGATACACATGCCTTTGAGCTTCCTTCGGCATCTCAGTGCATATGGCTGACACTTCACTCGACAAAGATGCTCAAACAAACATACATAAACCAGGTGTATCTGATACGCCTGGTTTGTGACTTCCCGTGATGCTCATGACGCTGCGTTGCTTTTCTTCAGTCCCTCATTACATATACATGACGATCCAACAGCAGATTCAACAAGCTCACATGTTCATGACATCGACATCGATAGAAGAAACCAAACAAATCATGCAAGCAGCTTTGTTTTGCCTCTGGGACACCTCTTGGGCACCTCTTATGGCATCCACACTGGTTCAACTCCTCCGTGGAGGTTTTGGGATACGGATGGATACGGTGCAACAGATTCAACAAGCTCACAGGTTCGTGAACACATCGGATGCATCGAACAGTGTGGCAAAGTCCAGCCACGCTTCCTTAATTATCGGGGACTTCAATTCTAAGGTTGGCTGTGTCATTGCTGTTTGTGTGTCTTACATGTTCACAACGTTTTACCTCATGAGCATTTGCCTCACTCCGCTTGATGTCCCACCAGTCCGGATGCACCCCTGCTAGCTTTCGTCACCTACCCTCGGCCTCAAGTCTTATATATAGTCTGTAACTGGCTCGTAGCAGCATCAAAACTGGCGCGACGACTAGACTAACTGGCTCCACCCAAACTGCTCCCGACAGCCCGATGGTGAACAAGAAGCACTGATCAAGATCTGCAGAGTGCCTAGGGCTCCAACCATATCCTCAGGTTCGGTGGTTAGACCTCCCTGGCACCCACCCCAACCACCTTCGAAACGCTGGTAGTTGGAGCCCTAGGGTTTTTGCATTGAGGTGAATCCCCAACACCCCGACGCGCTCGGTCGCCGGTGCCGGTCGCGACAGGTCCGGGCTGGGCAGCCTGCCATTAACGCGAGTGGCAACACCGCTGGCCACTCGGCAGTGATGAGAAAGAGGAGAAAGTGGAGAGTGGAAAGGGCTGAGGGCTGACTGAGGGTGAAGGAATCTTGGAGAGCAAGATGACTCTTGGAACCTTCTCATGGAGAGCAAGAACCTTGGGTCCGTGGGTCCGTGGGCAAACCTGAGGATGCTCCATGAGAAGCTCATAGTTTGCCCACGGACTCACGGACTCGTGTTCCATCAAAAGGAGCAATGGCCGAGCGAGAAGATCTTGACCCACTTCGCACCGTCGAGCAGCCGAGCCCAGGGTGTGTCCGGTGGTGCCCGGACGGCGATGGTCTTGGAAAGGCTGTAAGGCTGTAGGGCTGAATTGGCTCCAGATGGGAATTGAATAGGGAGAGCCTTTGCAAAGACCGAAAAGCACACATATTTTTGGCAAAGGGGCCTCAGCCTTCTATTGAAATGAAATATACACTATACACCCAATCCATCCCAATCCCTAGCAATTAGGCTCGGTTGGCCCAATTCTCCCAAAGAATCCTGGTCGCTCCGCAGCTTCACCAGGCTTCCGACGCCGGAGATTGATGCCCACAACGACGCAACTGGTCAGGAAGACACGGCGAGTTCGGGCCACACCGGGAGACCGACGGGTTCACCATGGGTGGACCTGGCGTGGTCCTTTGGTACATGGTGGACCAGGGATCGTCATATGAAGTGGCCCCTGAGTGGTATAGGACCATGTCAGAATCCTTCAACTTTATATACATGTTTCTTTCCGCTGATGGAGTGAGAACATTGATCTATAGCAGCTTCAAAGTGAGAGGCCTATGAGGTGACCCTTTCGAGGCTTAAGTGACCTCAAACGGGGCTCTCAAACGGGTCACCTTCCATGGTGACTTCCAGGTGGCTCAAAGCCCGGGACGGTGGCCGGGGAGTCGTTTTGGGGTCGTTTGAAGCTGCTTTTGGTCTGCGTCCGAGGCGAATTCGGCCTGCTGGTTGTGAGTTGGTTGAGGATTTCTGAGCCGCTTCCATGTTGGGCACCGAGGTTGTTGCTGTTTGGTAGAGGTTCTTCTTGTCACCAGAACATGAGCAGGGTGAACATGCACTGCACAGTCTCATACTAGGAACCATGGCTGCATGGTGTTTTAGACCCTGTGAAGTTGGTCTTTTCGCGGCAAGTGGTGACCGGCCGGAGGATACATGATAGAACCATAGAATAGTTGATTGAAGAGCAGATCCCTGGATCAATATCAGGCTGTGGCATGTTTCAGTGGCGCAGGAGGAAGATCGGAAGTGGCTTGTTTTCAGCCATCAGAATTTCCAGCCAACGAGAGGCCTACAGTATAAGGTCAAGGACACCAGAGTTGAGCTTTGGACACATCTATGTCACCTATTGCTGTAGGTCATGGTACCGGAGACCGACCCATGTACCGTGTCCGACCCGTGTGTACCGGGCTCCAGGTGCCATGACCCATCCCACCAAAGAGCCCAGTTGGGCGCCCTAACCCGCGGAACGACACCATTCGTTCGTGCTCCAAGGGGTCGGAATCGAGTTCTACGGCCAAGCGTCCCGCGGCCGCCGCGGCCTCCCTTTAAGTGGTTTTGGACGTGACAAAGTAACACCATGCAGCCAAGCAACCAACCATTCAGCCCCACAAACACCTCCATTCCAGAGAGAGAGAGAGAGAGAGATGTAGAATTAGGCCCCCTTCGGAACACGGCATGCCATCCACTTCCTTGATTCTTCCAGGGAGTGCAGGTCGTTTTGATGGAAGGCGCCCAGCTGTACTGTTGTCTCACACCACCGCGCTGACCAGAGGCGCCGCCTGTCTGAGACAGCGCGCGGTCCGTGCCATCCACGCCGTCCACACCGGTCTTGGGATGTCTGCACCGTGGGAACCAAAAAGGCTTTGTAGTCTTTTTGACCGACAGCTATATATATAATATATATCCAGACGGGTTTGCTTAAGACTGTGAGTGTTTTAACCTCACATGTACATTCATACGCTATTCGCGCGTCTTTTTGAGCATCCGTTTTCAGAATTTAGCGCGGTATTTGCGCGTATTTACCGCGCATGTTTTCGTCGGTCGATGTAAAGCACACTGTAGTTACGACTTCAGAACTGTGCCATGATTCCAAGGGTTTTGGTCGGATGGCACGTTAACGTTCTGCTCAATTTGCACACCCATACAGAAGAAGCCTTCTACGTTGCTACACAATGTGAGTGACTGAGAGTGGGGCGGGGGTGGGGTGGGGAGGGGTGGGATGTTAACGTTCGGTTCAAATTGCACGCTCATACAGAAGAAGCCCATCTACGTTGCTACACAATGCGAGTGACTGAGTGTGGGGCGGGGGGTGGGGTGGGGTGGGGTGGGGTGGGATGTTAACGTTCGGTTCCAATTACACACTCATACAGAAGAAGCCCTTCTCGTTGCTACACAATGCGAGTGAGTGTGATGTTAACGTTCGATTCCAATTACACACTCATACAGAAGAAGCCCTTCTCGTTGCTACACAATGCGAGTGAGTGTGATGGTAACGTTCGATTCCAACTACACACTCATACAGAAGAAACCCTTCTCGTTGCTTCACAATGCGAGTGACTGAGTGGGGTGGGGTGGGATGTTAACGTAGATGGTGGTGCACCTGAGATGGTGGTTCACCTGTTGTGCATCATTGAGGTGGTTCACCTGGGGTCCAAGTAGGTCAATCTTCCACACATGGAGCGTCTGAGAGTCTGAGATCGGTGTCCGTTCTCCATGTCGCCCAAAAGAAACGCTATTTGTCTTCCCCAAAAACGTGAACACGTTAAAAGAACGTTGTGTTTTTCACAAACGTAGTCTTAAGTAAACCCGTCGGGATATATATATATATAGATATAGCTTGTCTTGGGGCCAACGGAGAGAATTTCCTCTCACTTGCTGTGAAAGCAACCCAAATGGATTTGTCTAAACTCCTCATCAGGGCACAGCGTTTGCAAGGGGCACAGCTGGGTGTTTCATCCGAAATCCACACTGGTGCTAAACTGTCAAGATGCGTTATAGCTGGTCTTGGGGCCAACGGAGAGAATTTCCTCTCACTTGCTGTGAGACTAACCCAAATGGATTTGTCTAAACTGGTCATCTTGGATCTGGGTTTTCGGGGCACAGCTGGGTGTTCCACCCTGAATCCACACAAGTCCTAAACTGTCCCAGAAGTTCAAGAAGCGTTTCTGCATGCAAGACACGCAGAATGGCTGGACACCAGACACAGATTCCCTCGGTTCAAGCGCCCTGGCCTTTTTCTCGGATTGTTTCACCTGGCAAAAGGGTGCCGAACCCTGCGCGAATCTGGTGGAGGATAGTGGAGGGGCCACTTCATGACAGGTCTACCTCCTCGGTCTGGACAGCCTTGCAGGTCTGAACAACCCCGGAAGAACACTGGTATATTCTTCCCATTCCTTATCAGTTGCAGGTCTTTATCCTATACGTCACCTTATGTTTATCACTTTGTAATGCATGTGGAATAGTCAGTGGGGCTGTGAGAGAAGAGGAGTATCCATAGCACGCGAAGAGAGGTTGAAGTACTGGTAGAATCTATACTGCGACACCCTGTGGTGGTTAGGATATTGGTGGATATTGTTTTTTGGGCAAACTATGGCAACACCTTTTCCCAACACGCCTTTGTACTTGTAGCTTTTCATGGGTGAGGCTTTCATGGCTGAGTATGCCAACATCATTTTGGTGAGAGGAAAGCCTGTTCTGTACCATGATTCTGTGAATGCAATGGTAGTAAAATCAAACTTTGCCGCTGGGAACTGTTTGGCTCGCCATCACTCGCTGGCAATCCAAGAGTCCTCCAGCTTGAGACAATTACCAGAGATCCCAAGCCTGTACGCGACTGCAACAGCTTGCACAACTAACAGTACGTACAGTGATACTATGATGATAATGATTATAGTGTTGCTGCAATGATACAAATAGCACACACACTCCACACTTGCATTCTACCAGCCACAACTGGCCTTTTCGTGTGCATCGTGCGCTACCCCGAAAAGAACGATTAAAGGTCCAAGTCACTTTCTGCGCAGATAGAGAATCTGCGGATTCCTATTCAAAAAACCAATTACCCCGTGGAGAACTAAGATGGACTCTGAAAGCTGGTTTGTAGAGGAGATAAGAACTCCTATACCCTTCTTTCGTCTCTCCAATTTCAACACGTCCGCTGAACTGAGACAAGTGCCATTGGATAAAAACCCATGGCCCTGCGGCTCTCGGCCATTTGCCGCAGCCCGGGATCCAAACGTCCCACAGATGATCCACTCGGAGGAACACGTGCACCATGGTTACGTGGATGGCAGCGGTCCCGAAAGGAAGACGACTTCCAACGTTGGCTTTTTTGAGTGCATGATCCTTTACCAAGGTACATCACATCGACGATCTTTTGTACCTTGGTCATTTACAAAGGTTCTTCGCAGATGGTTATCTTTTTCCAACGTTGGCTTGTATGCCTTAGTTGGTTGGGTTGGTTGTCCAATAGATTCCCCCCCTCGTCGCGAACAACCAAGTTCGGTCTGTGGTGCCTGGCATTGGCCCCCTATAGTTGTTGGCTCCTCGTACTCGTACGGACATCACTGGTCGGTGTGGCACAAGGTCAAACCAGGTCGGAGCTCACAAGCTTGAACGGTCTATACGTGCGAGATCTCGGTGATTATCGTTTTTGGGTTTCCATGGGTTTCCATGCCCTCGCAATCAGTCAGGGTCCGTTCTGATGATGGTGGACGGTTGATGTTTTTCAAGCAGGTACTTGGGATCAGTTGGGCCTTGGGGGTTTGATGAACAGTCATTTCGTTAGTATGTGTAAAAAAAGAAGGGAGACACTGGCATCCCTTCGTACCCTGTAGCATGCAAATCTTCCAGGGCTCCCCAAGCTTCTTGAGACTATCCCATTTTCGCTGCTCAGAATGGCGCTGGGCCTGTCCACGGGATTTGCCGGGCAGCTTAGATCTGTGTGTTTTAATCTGCGGTCAAACCTTGGAATAGTTCACATCAGGACCTAGCATAAGGCTAGGATCTAACATCAGTTTAGTTATGTTTTAGTTCCTCTATAC